GAACAGAGTGAAAAAGATTTGACTCGAACAGGCGTGAATCGTGACATCATTACTTTTTAAAAAACAATGTCAGTTTAAAACTCTTGATGAGGGGCGGGGGGCGATATGCATTCCTTCAAATAATGTACTCGCAAAGTCCACCTGTGACAGGTTTTTACAAAAACCTGAATTTAAAATGTTCTGCTCGTATCGGTGGCTCTGGTGAGTATTTAAAACCGTACAGATGGTTAAATCCAAGAGAATCTGAGTCCAGAGATATTCTGAAGATTTGCGTCGACCTTTACAACAGAAATAATCACAGACAGTAAAAGATGCACGTCAGCAGGCATCCCCTGCACACAGAGTATGAGTTGGTTAGCTTGGGATTTGTTGGTGGTATGTAAATTCTTCTTTCATGTTTTTATACTTGTGTTTTCTGCACATGCAGTTAATTCTGATTAAACGCACGGAGGCAGAGAGGAGACTGGCTGATTGATCTGATGTAATCTTATCTGTGCTGCTGTTTCTCTTTCAGGCCCAGAAGAAAGCAGAGGAGTTGAATCCATTAGTGGACGGCGTGCAGGAAGAGGTAAGGTCCCACAAAGAACTGCAATGAAACTCAGACATAAAACAAGTGATGGAGCAGCCTCACTGGGGATTACCACTGATCTGAGGAATAACTTGTTAAATCTTGTGCAGGGACTAGAATGCAAATTAAATTCTATATATTTTTAAATATGCTCATTTGTTCTGCTTGACTCTTCATATTAAGGCATCTGGGGCCACTTTTATCTTTATTTTTTTGTCTTGTTTAGAAACCAGATATCATACAGGGGAATATCATATCCCTTCTACATCTCAAAGCAAAATAAATCCAAACGTTAATTGCATTTTATTCCAAATTTAAAGTTCAAATTGTGACAAATTTGATGTATTTCATGTTTAAACTCCAGTTTTTTTTCCATCTGCCTTTTTTGTTATTGAAAATTTAAAGTTTTATATTTCACCTAAAAATGAGTTACTGACACCTTATTACCTGACAATAAATTCAATTACTTTTTATATTTAAGCAATACACCATTAAAGGTAGCAGGTTTAGTTGAAGAAGAGCCAAACAAGAAGATGTACGTCTCTTTGCAGCTTGTTAAAAGGGTGGAAGTCCTGTCTGCTCTGCCTCTTTTTCTACATTAAGCTGTATGTAGTCATGATGATGATGATGATGATGGGTCTTCTGTCTGCAGGGCACCAACAGCACCAACTACATCCATAATGCATTTCAGCTGCTGCTGCCAGTCCTGCAGATCTCCCACATCCAGAGCCAACGATGCCAACCAGAGTTACAGCACTGACACACTGGACATTGTCCACGCCCTAATGTCCTGCTGGACGTCATCTACACTCCTTAATGCAAGGCTGGACATTGTCCACATGCCTTTATGTCCAGCAAGATTTCCACATGCCTTCATGCATAGATGGACGTCGTCCACACGCTTTAATGTACAGCCGGACGTCGTCCATGCGCCTTAATGTGCAGCTGGACAGTGAAGCGTCCACAACAACTCTCCACTTTTATCCCCAGTAAGTGCTTCTACCAACAACAAACTAACGACAGGAATTTTAAGTGCTGAAGGTAATAAATAGTCGAATATTAACATAGAAATGATTTAAATGACTGTATGTCTGTCTCTACCACTTTGTATTTATAAATGTTGTTGTGACTGTTGCAGTATATAAATTGGGTTAAGGATATTTAATGGTCTGTGTTTGTAATAAACTACCAGCATCACGAACGTTGGACCACCACCATTACTCTCACCACATCTTGTCATTGGTTCGACCTACAGGATTACAATATGCTAAACAAATGATTTGTAAACTTTAGTACTGAGTCTGTAGCTACTGCCACACAGTCGTTGCTGAAACTGGAACAAAACCAACAGGTAAATAAATTCATGTACATTAGATTTAATCACTTATGTGGATAAATCTTGCTTACAGAATGAAATAAAGATTTAGGGAGAAAAGCCTCTTTCTGATCAAAGAAACAAACATTGCAACAGCTTCTTCGTTTGTAAATCAAAGACATGTACTAAAAGAGGTGTGGCAATGCAATTGTTAGCAACTTTTATCTGTTAAACAAACTGATGGTAGGTTAGGATGAAACATTTAAGCATCCTTTGCACTCCTCACCATCAATTATGCTTTCAGCAAAAATAAATGAACACTAATGAAGTATCTCTTTAGATGTTTGACTTGGTTTGAGAATAAATGCTAGCATTTCCAAAAAAAAAAAAAAAAAAAGACAGTAATTGTCTTCCTTTATTTCTTTAAGTTATATGAAGCAACACTACTGTTTTCATCATCATGTGATTTAGTTTGAATAAAGTATTGCAATTTAACAACAAAGTCCATGCTCAATAATCCAGGTATACAATCCAACATTTTTCAGTCAGACAAGACTGTCAACAAGGAAGAGGGCCGGCAATGGAGGAGGGGGCGTACCAAAGAGACCATCTTATCACAAGCAGAACTGGTTTGTTCCAATTTAGAGTAAGCAGTTGGGGGAAGAATCAGTTTTGCTGTACGTTTCCTCGACTGATGAAGCCTTACGGACCGAAGGCGAAACGTTTCAGCACAAAAAAAAAGAAACCGTCCAGATGAGCTGACTGAAAAATGTTGGATTGCAATTTACTAAAAAAGGTTTTGTTTCTTGATATGTACAAGAAAAGGACAGTGTGTAAGTTTTTGTGTTTGTTTGTTCTGCTACCATAAAAAAAAAAACTGTTCAAAATGTTGTAAAATATTTTTGTCTTTTTGTAAATGTGATGAACAGCATGGCTCTGTGCATTAAATACGCTACTGTTAGCTTATCTTAGCATAAAAACTGACCTGCAGGAAATGCCTCTCTGCATCAGGCCAACAAATAAAATGTACAAAACCAAAAACTGAACGTTTGTCCACATGGAGCTGCAGAACTAAGTTTAAAATGCATGCACTCACAAAAAGCAAGCCTAATTTCTGAACTATTTAATGTCTCTGGACACTGATTAAAGGATATTATCCATTTTTCGCTGTTTCTGGTCTTTAGGAAATGTGTATGGCTTTAGCTGCAAACAGCTCTGCTGTATTCATTAAAAGCTAGATGAAACCTGAGCTTGGAAGTTGGAATTTCTAAGTTCCATGTTGGAAAAATCCAAAATGGCTGACTTGGTGATAGCTGCAGAAATGAACAATTTCAACTTCTTTTTGTTCATTCTTAATTTAATCAGTAGAACTAGAATACCACGTTTAGAAATGTTTATGTGTAAAATACTGCACAGCTTCAACTCTGAAAAAGTTGTGTAAAATGGAAATAAATAAAGTGGGTAACACTTTACAATAAGGTAAAAAAAAAATTTGATTAACATCTAGGGAACACCTAATAAATGAATCAGGAACAAATCAGGAGCTAATTGGTAGTTAACTAGTACTTACTGGGTAACACACAGCCAAACCTTATTAGGGGACTACTGGTTATTTACCTTGTAAATGAAGAGGAACTAACCAAGAGCTAATGGGTAGTTACCAAGGAAACCGAAGGGAAACAAATCAGGAGCTAATAGGGAGTTAACCAGTACTTACTGGGAAACACACAGCCAAGCCTTATTAGGGGACTACTGGTTTGTTACCACAGGAGCATACCAGTAGGTGATGGTCAGGTAGTGATTAAGTAATGATTGGTTCCTCAGTAAGTACTTGGTATGGTGCTTCACTACACCAGTGAACAAAAGAATAGCCAGGCAATTATTTGGTACTCGGTAAGTGATAGTCATATAAGATGGCAGCAGTACAAGACAATGAAATTGATAATGTCTTTCATCAATAGGTTTACAAAGAGAAAATCCAATAAAATCAATAATCAGTAGGGAACAGGTTTTGACAATTATGAGCTGTGACCTCACTGGTGCAGGGTTTATTCAGAACCCACACGGAGAATTTCTCCTCTGTTTCTGTGGTAACAAACCAGGAGTCTCCTAATAAGGCTTGGCTGTGTGTTCACCAGTAAGTACTGATTAACTACCCATTACCTCCTGATTCGTTCCTCTTTGCCTTCCTTGGTAACTGCCCATTAGTTCTTGACTAGTTCCTCTTCATTTACAAGGTAGCTAACCAGTAATCCCCTAATAAGACTTGACTGTGTGTTCCCCATAAAGTACTGGTTAATTACCCATTAGGTCCGCATTCATTCCTGAGACGTTCCCAAGTAAGTTAATCAAATTTAGTGTACCTTATTGTAAAGTGTTACCATAAGTAGTGTAAAAGACAGGAGGGCCTCTTGAGTTCTGTTAGCTGCTGCTGCTCAGACAAGATTTATAATGACTCACATACGAAGACAAATGTTTATTGTCACAAAGGTTTTGTCTGGTTAGTGATGCAGACGTTGTGGTTGAGTAAACGATGCACTGTTTAAACAAACGTCGCTTGTTCAGTGGACAAAACTGAGTGTGGATGTAATTTTGGCACAAAGAACAACGACGTCATGCCACCATTATTTGTCTCGTCACAAAGAGAAGAGGGGAACTGGAAATACCTTCTGTCCGTTCATTTAGTGAGCTGGATAACCTGAAAAAAATAAACGAGGTACTATCATTTTTGTGTTTGGCTGCATCTAGGTGTGAGAAAGGTGCCTATCAAAAGTTGGGTTGCCACCTCAGAATCCAACATGGCTGACAACTTATAAATGTAAACCTGCAACACCTGTCACTTGAGGAAACTATGCTTTCTAGTTTTTATATTGCTTAAATGTATACCAGTAGTTTCCTCAAATCATTTGGGTGGCCGCAGATTAATCTATGATGGCCAAAGCCACCAGTGGCCACCCCCTAGCTCCACCATTGTACCTGGTGATGGATAAAATCTGTAGTTCCCTCCTCTCACCAGGATCCATCCCTCTGCGCCTCCTCAGACAAGCAAAAAAACAACTCCCTCTGTTCTTCTCCATAGTGAAACTTCTACCACTTGAATATCTAGCACCAAAGACATTAAGGTTTGCTTTCATTCTCTGTTCACTTCCAGTCCAGAAAAAACACTCATCTCCAAAACTACATCCACTACTCGAATCCCTTGATGATGATGGACATCAGCGTATCGCTTGTTAATCAGCACAAGCACCTAATTACAAGCAGGTGGTTCAAATCCCACCACTAAAGTTTGGTGGTTGCAACAGATATTAATCAGATATCTCAAAATACTCCAATGGTTTTTTCTTTTACCCGTTTTCCCTCTAACTAAAAGGTTACATAAAGTTGCAGCTTCCTGCATCTTTTTATTAAGCTCTTTGACAGATAAATATTCTTATTCTAACCTCAGCTTCTCTGTATTTGAGGAGCCATCGGTGCAAAGTCATTTCACACAGAAAGTGTATTTTTATTTTTATGTAATACATTTTGGTTTCTTTCAGCTTCAACCAGACTGAGTTTGTTTACAGGCCATGGTTCTCATACAAAATACTAAACAAATTACCTTTAATTTTGAAAAATGTTCATTTCCTTATAAATTAATACCATTTTGGACACGTTACAAATGTAATTTGTGCCTAAGTAACTGGAGATGAGATGTAACCGCCTTGGTGTGGGTTTTATATTTAGATGACTCTAAAGGAAGGAGTGATGTAGTCAGTTTTTCTTGTCTTCAGCTTTAAGATGAAGCTTGTGCTCCTCCAGCTGCTCTTTTGTCACCACACCTGCTCCTCGGTGGGGGCGGATGTGGAAGGATGGCCACGGTGATGCAGATTTGCTAAAGAAGAAATAAAAGATTTCAACACACTGCAGCATTTTGTTTAAGTTACCGAAGAGGATAAGATTAAAACAGATTATTTTGTTTATTTGAACCAAAACCACAAGGTCTTTGATCCTCCTCATGCCTTTTCTCCTTTATCTGCAAAATAAATCAGCAAAATATTTTCCAAGATGTCTCACTCCTTCATTAGACCTGGAGGAGACGTGAAGGAGACGCACTCTGGTGTTTGCTGACTAGAACCCTTTACTGCCTCTAATCTGCAGACAGTGTGAGGTGATAATCCCTCGTGTAAAACTGGATTAAGACACACAAAAATGTCTTTAAAGGTCATCTGAGGAAAATAATAAATCACAGCTGCTTCCTCAATTTGTGCAAATTCCATTTTAAACAAATGATGAAGAAAATGAAAAGAAGGGCACATAAAGTGTGTCTAAAACTAATTTTTTTTACATTTGTTAGAACTCAAACGTGCAATCAATTGATTCAGGAATAAAGAAACAAGAGTTTATAGGAAGACTGCATTATATTTAAGAAACCCTTTTAAATTAGTAGAAATTTCTCTGTGTGTCTGTAGGCACGACATGATGAATTAACTTGGAAGATGCTTCTTTTACCAGAGTAGCAGTGGTCGGCGTGTCCATCCAGTAGAGTTTCTTCATCTGAAACATGCACGGGAA